CCAACGTGTGTTTTTTGAAATGCGATGTTTACTGCTGCTAACACACCGTCTCTTTCTGGGTTACAGGCTTCGTTCCAGCTAAAAGTACAATTTACATACAAAAACTGTCCACTTATTGACCTCATTTTAATAAAAAAATAATACTCTGGATGTTGCCACATTTTTCCCTTCGTTGTATCCGATGATGATGATGATGACGATGACAACAACGACAATGATGATGATAACGATGATGATAAAGATGATGATGATGACAATGATTATGGCTCCATTCATCCCAGACAGACTTCACCACAAAAAATGAGGGATGTCTAAGCTGAGGAATTACAAACTCAAATTTAAAATGATTTGCTAACAAACCAATGTAAAATAAATGTGTAAATGTTGCATTATGCAAATAATTCTTATTGACCTGGGGTAGTAAAATAATTGTGATGATGTCAGGCTAATTTGTGATTTCGCGTTTGTGTTGCCACATTAACTGAAATTAAGATTTTATATTTCCTGAAATGGGAAAAAGAGCATTTTGTTTTATTCTTGAAATTATGTATTAAAATTAACATATACCTTTCCAAGACTTCCTTTCTTCATTTTTCATCTTCATTTTTGTATTTATATAAAGTCTTATACACAAACAAACTCTGAACCAGTGCAGTCACATCACTTTTGGTTTCCACAACTGATTACTAATAAACAACAGATGACAAGCTTGGTCACCGCTGCCTGTTTGTTTGCAGCCCTGCACTGTGTTTGTCATTTGCATGCTCTCAGCACACTAACACGGGTTTCGTTTGTGAACTCCAGCTTCCCTTTTCAGTCCAAAAATATGCAGTCAACACGCTGGTGCTTCTAAAATCTCATTAATGCATAAATATGTATGTCACATACGGGTTAAATGCACAGGACACATTTCGTTGTTGTGCACTGTGTGCTGTGGTGTGTCAACATTGACAATTAATCCCCTTCACTTCATATTCATCACTTCATACACTCCATCATCCAGACTAGCGCCTGTGTGTTTCCTCTGCAGGTGCTTGTGCATAGTGCTACTGCCGCTATGATACGCCACCAAAATTTTGTACAGTGAAAAACCACCTTTTGTTTTGTGTTAATTAAGGATAACAGGAATCAAATGTAATGGGGCTCTACACTTAGGTGGAACAGACGATGGCCAGGGAACCCTACAGATACTGGTATGAGTGGAAGGAGTGTTAGTGTATTTAGGTTTTATATGACCTACTTGACCACACTGATATCATACTACCCCTTTCTGTCCCGCTTCATTAAACCCAGTTTAGTAGGTTCACCCCTTTCACTCATGCACTTACCTTCTTGAGATGTTCTTGATGCAGGTGAAGGCCCCTGGTGTGGGTTCCCAATATCCTTAGCCCCTTTCCACCCACTTTAAGTCCATGTCTGGGTTTTCCTACCTGCTGCCCCATATACATCTACCAAGGCTGCAGCCTCCCCCACTGAACCTGTGTTACCTTCTCAGATCCATACTTGAAGCTCTGGGGCCAGCAGATGGAGGTCCTGCTCCAGAACTATCACACTTCCCCACCTCTTCCTCACTCTTCTCTTGTGGCTGTGGAACAGAACTGGAGCAGGTCAATCTCTGCATGCATTTCATATTTAGCTAATATAGCTGCCTTTACCTTACTATACTCTAGTGACTCATATATATATACATACATATTCACATATGCACTCATAGTCTGGCCACCCAGTCAGTTTGCTGACCACCAGCACACCACAGCTAATCTCTCAGATGTTGTGAGGAAGAGCCCAATATCATCATCCTCCTGTAGACACTGCAGGTGAGGCTCCCTAACCAGCCTTGGGGCTGTATTGTCTTGTTCATTCAACTGATGTGAAGTTGCAAGGTTGGTCTGGGGAGTTACACCTTGTAGATCTGAGGAGCTGGAAGATGTCAGGGTTGCGTCTCCTGGAGACATGCTGTGCTGAACGTCACTCCTTCCTGAGCCTGATGTCGGGCCAGTCCGCAGATGTACCTTCTGTTGCAGCAGGTGACCTGAGGTTTCAGGGCCTTAGATCAGGATTGCTGCTGAGCTGAGTCCTGCTGCAGACACTATTTTCTGGCCTGTTGCATGGCAGGTGGGTCTGTACTGTAGGAGGTCTGACACCTTTTTCACTGGTCGACACTTAATGTCTGAGGATCACCTCCAACAGCACCTTCTGGAATCGATTCATCTGCCAACTCAGCATAAATCCTCTTGGGAGGCATTCTCACCAAAAATCTTGACGAAAAGAAGTAAAATGTCTACTCACTATTACCTCCTAGTGGCTGGTCCCACTTATGACACCTGTTGTGATGCCCTGAGCACCAGCAAAAACCAGGAGGTAGAGGCCTCAAAATACAGGAAGACAGCAGGATTCCAAAAATATATTTCTTTTATTTTCAAAAACCCCAAAATTCAATACCCCTTCCCCCAAAATGGAAAGAAGAAAAAAAATAAACGCACAAAACAACTCTGAGCGGCATACAGGATACGCCTTAACCAAAGCCATGGTGACCTCAGAGGTCTGACCAGCCATTTCCCTTCCCACGCTTCATGCTGCCCCCCCTCTATAACGATGCTCGACACCATCGCAACCCCAATAGGGAGGGTGAAGAACACAGTTTACATTAAACAAACATCACACATTGTCTCGTTAAGAGTTAAAAAGGACATAATTTCACTAACAAAATTCAACACATTTTATTTAACCCTTCCCCTGTCACCACCCCAAAATCCCCCCTTCTAACCTGCATCATACTGAAGTCCAATTACTTGGTACCACATAAAACATCCACATTTCACCATATGACCCATTTAATGGTTGCACTTCCTGTGGTAAGTTTGAATGAACCATCTGCAGACTGTTCTTCACTCCATTCTGTGCGTTTAACTAATCAATAAATCAATGTTTTAATAAGTACTGAGGTATCAATTTATAGTGTTACTCTGGGTCCAACTTAGCAAAAATAAATAAATAAATAAATTCTTTAAGAACTGCGTAACAACTTGAGTCGCACACGTTGCTCAGACGGGGGCATCACACACTGGATGGATGTCAGTGCGTCATTTCACATCCTAATAATTAACACAAAGTAGTGATGTGAGGTATTCTCTTGGTTACTATTGGCTGACAACATGTCCCTGTTCTGCTCTCATAAAAACGCAACAGGATATGAAGTCTAACAGTGTCCAGGAGGTCCATCTGTAAGTAGGTTGTACTTTTCATTCTTACCAAGAAATCCTCAATTTTGCACGACATGTGGAACACTCTGCTTTTTGTGCTCATTTTGTTTGGCATTGACTTCATATTTGCCAGTAAGTGTCAGTTTAACTTTTAAACATTTCTAAAGTTAAGGCTTCTGTCAGGTGATGTTTAGTTTTGAGATTTCTTGGTGAACAATATTCAGTTGTGAGTGAATTTCAGATTAAAAGTTTAATTTTATATGCAAAACCTCAGGGTGGTTCTAGGGTAAGGATAGATCTGGGGCTTAGCATAAAACGCTGTTGATGAGTTGAAGATTTAAAAGTTTAAACTTCTAGTCGGTTTAACTTTCGTTGGTTCTCTTAATATGCATCTAACACTGTTCTATGCACTTTTTGTAAAGTCAAAAAGGGAAAAAAAAATGTGTGGCTGAATGTGCACAACTTGTCCATCATGTGGCGTCTGTATTCTATCTCTGGTAGAGCAGCTGCTAAGGCATGAACTGTTACTTCTGCTGCTGTGGTTTGCACTGGTGGAGCCGCTTCTTCTTTCCATCCATATTTTGTTCTCTTCACTCCTTTTTCCTGTTTCCTGTATCATGCAGAAGTTCTCATTTCAAAGGCTGATGCATTTCCTCTGTTCTTTCTGGGTCAACTGAGGCATATTCAATTAGCTATCTTAATTGTATCATTATTTACAGTATCAAATAATTTCATTAATTTATTTTAATTTAATGAAGTCTGAAGCAACCAGTTCAACAATGATAATCCCGCAAGATCCAAAAGTCCACAGTGATATTCAATCCTGAGAAATCCTGACAGTAATAATCCACAGAGAATTAAGAAAGATTCAAAGAATGTCAACAGTGGCATTTTTTCAGCGATAACTAAAATAACCTGTAACCTTCTATCCCAGACTTGTGAAATGCAAAATGCTATTTGGTAGTGATGGCCAAGATGTTTCTAGAGCCCAGATGACACGTTTGGTTTTGTCAGACCTGTTAGCTTTCAGTCCTTTCTTGAACAGAGGCTCCATCTATTGTGGTCAGAAAATAGAGCATTTGGTTCCTGAAGCATCATTTTGGCCATCATTACGGTTTGTCACGTTCAGACGATAAATAATAGTTTATACCTACAATCAACAATCTGGTTTCTTCAATTTAAACTCAGGAGTAAAAATCAGCCTTAAAACAGAAAAAAATAATGATTTGACATTTATCATGATAATTATCGACATCGACTGATATGAAAAATGTTGTCATGATGTGACATGGCTGCTGGAGGCTCACTCAGCATGTTTGGGACTGTTCTTGTTGAAGCTTTTGAGTTACAGATGAAACAAATCTGTATAGTTCCCCATATGTTAGTTTCTATGTCTAAATGTGAATTTTGTTTCTGTGCCAAAGAAAGTACATTTTTTGAAACGTGAATATCGATACTTGGTTATTAAATGCTATCAAACGTGGTCCAGTGGGCCTTGACACTATGCAGTGATATATAGGTGGTGTGACAACCGTTGTGGAGACGAGCAGGTAAACAGGTAGTCGAGCTGTAAATACGGGCAGGCGACTTCAATGACAGATCTGAGGTAACAGACTTGAACGCGGACTTAAATATACCAGACAAGCTGAAAATAACAGGCAACAGCTAGGTGATCACAATCGGGAATTAACACGAGGTAACGAGGGGGGCGTGGCACACAGGAGGATCGAACAAGCAGGTCATGACAGGTGGGCCTTAATGTTGAAAAGGTTGACAACCATGGCTCTAAACTGCCCCCCTGCCACAGAAAATGACAGAATGTCCCACCCCGACGTAATCGCATTTTTTAAAGGCAAAGTCGCTTGAACAACCTCCTGTAAAGCACTCGAAATGTGTTAATACTTTTTCATTCAAAACTGACAGTAATGCCTTTCTTTTCAAAAACAGTTGCCTTCAGTCACAAGAAGAGATTCATTTACTTGAATAATATGCTTGACACTTTGTTGAAGTCAAAATAACAGGTTTTCATCACCTTTAACAAATGTCCCCACAATGTAAGTGAGTCGCGAACCCGTTTTCATTGGGTCGCGGGCCTTTGGGCAAAAAAAATGTTGAGAAAAAATGAACAGAGTGTCATCTGTTCACACTCCTTAACATTAGGTGGTGATAATGCCCTGTAATGCGAGTTTACAACCGCCGTTTCCCATCATAGAAGAAGACCCGCAAACTTTGTGAAAAGTACACCCAGTGTTTTCAGAAACTGTGCCAAGATCTTGGTAGTACGAAGGTCTGTAGAGGACATGCATAAACTTTTTTCTTTTCTAAGCAAAGTCGTTATCTCGAGATCACGACTTATTTTTTTCTTATTTTTTTACGCCGACATCTTTCAAACATCACCCAGTAACCATGGAGACGTCCCGGACCCACCAGTTGGTTGGTAATGAAACTGACTATTCGTTCAGGTTCACTATAATTTCTCCGACGGTATAGCTGCAAATTTCTGATCTTCCTTCTCAAATGACGAACACTAATATGACAATCTTCTAGCACAGACAGACAGTGTTATTTCCTCGTATCCATGATTCGGTGCAATATATCTCGACTTTTTCCCACAGTTTGAAGTCTAACTTGGTTTTACAAACAAGTACAATATAACCATATCTTTTATTGGTGCAATATACTTTTACTTTAATGTGCAATATACACTTTTACTTTTCCTGTAACTTTTGGACAAAGGTATTTTAGATTCCTGTACAGAGATTTTCTATCTTATTTTATTTTTATTTTATTTATTGGAATGTTTAACAGTGCCGTAATTTGTTTTACACTTCAATCCTATTTTTATACTTATATTGTATTGTGTTCTTGTCTTCGTGTTTATATGTGATTGTGCAGTCACAATGTGAGCACTACTACTACTGAAGGGTTTTGGTTTTAATTCAAATCCAGCTAATTGGGTGTAAAAGGGAATATTCCCCTCTCTAGCATCGACACTTGCTGCTCATTTTGGTTCATCATTAGGTTTATCAGATGTTTTGTGTTGGCATACTGTGATTCTATTTTACTATCTGAGGTTCAAACTGCACCATTTTTTTATTCAATAAATTTGAGGAGTTGAAAATTTTGGGTCGCGACATCATCAAGGGGTCATGGTGGGTCCCAAAGCCAGATCAGTTGAGAACCACTGCACTACAAGATAACAAATATGGTTTATGCTTTAAAATGATATTCTGAGATTCGGTTTTGACCACAGTGACAGTATCTTTTGCCATACTGACATAGAAAGGATAATTCAGTTATTTTTCTTTTGTGAGATTATTCAAAGATTTTGGGCCAATGTTCATGAATGGTCAGAATTTAAGTTGGTTGATATTCCTAAGATTTTATGTATTAATTTGTCTCATAACAAAAGGTTAGTTTTCCTAACAGGCAATATTATTTTGCTGGGGAAATTATTTATTCATAAATCAAAGGTTCTAAAAATGATTCAATCCTTTGCATTTTTCAGAAAGAGTTACGCACTTTTTAATGGGCTCTTATGCATATGAAAACAGAATGCAAAATATCTGTTTATACTTTTTGAATATCTTAAGATTATGAAGACAGCTTTTCTTTTTTTCTCTCCTCTTCTTTACGTCTTGTCTTTTAATCTATTTCATGTGCCTTCTGTACTTGTTATAATATATAAGATTGTCTTGTACTTTGTATTAATTGCCACAATGCAGTGATGTTCTTGGTTTGTTCTTTATTATAAATAAAGCCTAAAAGATTATTGGCCAATGGGCCATTCATTCAAAGAGGGAGGCGCACAAGCATAGCATACTTTTTAATCATAATTCAGCTATATATCTGAATCTGAACAGGAAATGAAATGTGATGATCTTCAAGAGCATTTATAAAGAAAGAATTATAAATACTTACAAACTGTAATGTGTGTCTTGTTTTTCCAGCCACACACTCCCTGCAGTATGTCTACAGCGGTACGTCAGGGATACCGAACCTCCCAGAGTTTATGACCGTAGGGCTGGTGGACGGGGAGCCCATCACTTACTATGACAGTAACATACGCAGAGAGGTTCCTCGTCAGGAATGGATGGCAAAAGCTGTGGATCCTGATTACTGGAACAGGAACACTCAGGTCTCCACGGATACAGAGCCGGTGTTCAAAACCAACATACTGTAGAAGTGGCAAAGCAGCGTTTCAACCAAACCGGAGGTAAGTGCTGCATGTTTATGACAGTGACCCTGACAGTGTGACGTGTTTATCTGTTTTAGGGCGACACTCCACATTTTTACTTACGCAGGCTCTGCGTGTTTAGCTGCATGACTTTATTTACAGTGATTTATTCTTACATGAGAGTAAAAATGACAGAAAAATAAGAATTCTGCTAATGTGCTTTTACACACTGATCCGCAGTCACACTGTCCAGTAACTCACTAGATACACTGGTAGGTAGCTTCAGCAGGGGAATCAATACTGAGGCTGTTTGTCTTTTTTATATCAAGGTACAGTTGTTTTTAAATAAGGTGTTTAGAAACACTTGTGATCAGACACACTTAAATCATCAGCCTTTTGTGCTGTTTGTATGTGTGCTGTGATGTTAATTTTTACTCTTTTCCAGCTTGTGTGTGAATTTAATGTCACACAGTTAAAAAGGCCTGAAAGCTGCAGTGTACATGCAGGATGCTGAGAGTGAGGAGCTGCTGACAGGCCTGTTTGAAATGCTGTGAAAATGACGCCCAGAGGATGAAACCGTATCAAACCTGCCTGCTAATTCTCTCCTCTTTCTGTTCAGGTATCCACACAGTTCAGCAGATGTACGGCTGTGAGTGGGATGATGTAACTGGGGCCACAGGTGCTTTTCATCTATATGGCTATGATGGGAGTGACTTCATTGCATTGGACTTCAGAACCATGACTTATGTGGCTCCAGTGATGCAGGCGATTCCCACTAAAGTGAAGTGGGACAGAGACAGAGCTGAGTTAGAAAACATAAAAAGGTACTTTACCCAGCAGTGCATTGAGTGGCTGAAGAAGTATGTGAGCTACGGGAAGAGCACACTGGAGAGGACAGGTACAGTACAGCAGGTCTGGACATCCTGGGGTGGAGATGAGCACATACTTTCAGTGCACCCAAGGTTGTACTATGGTATGCGGTAATTTGACAGCTTTCAAAAACTACTCTAGTATGTGGAAAGTATGTCAGTATAATTCCCAGCAGACGATCCTAATCCTGAGACCCCTCCCCCCCCCCGGTGATGTTTAAGCTCCTCTCAGCTTCTGCTCCCTCCCCATGTGCTTCTGTCTGCCGTCCCACCTGGATTGATTCTCACAATCAGTAGTATTAGATGGTATTAGATCATTAACACCCTCTGGCAGAAATACAATGAAATACAGCGGCTTGTGGGGGGGGGGGGCAGCTGTCCCTGTCCTGATGCAGGCTTATAGCTAAAATGTGTAGAATATTAATCACATTATGTATTTACAGGAGGGATTGCTGGTGATGAAGTGTAGCGTTTTATTTATGGATGTTTTTGTCTTTCTCCCCAAGTCCGCCCTGAGGTGTCTCTGCTGCAGAAGGACCCCTCCTCTCCTGTCA